ATTTACCGTCCATCAAATCAAGACGTGATGAAGATCTGTGTCCATGAGTCATAACTCATCACCATTACTCTTTTTCACTCCCCCTCCCCTCCTCCATCCCTCTTTTCTCCTTTCTCCCCATTTCTGTGCCCATCAGAGCCCGGTCTTCACTTTCAACCAATCAGAGGTCACCTCCACCTCGGCACCCTCCTCCAAAGACACTAAAGCAGGGACGACCACCGCCCCTCGGCCCGCACGTCCGCCTCCTGACCCAAAAACACAGACCTTGCCCTCCAAAGGCCCCGCTGAGCGACCTCAGCTTCACTCCATGAAGTCCCTCCCCCTTCAGTCGCCACGTTCCCCGTCTCCGTCTCCATCTCCGCTCCTCTCCCCCATCCCACCCTTCTTCAACTTCCCTTCTCCATCTGTCTTCAAGTCCAAGAACTCCCACTCCTCCTCTAACTCCTCTCCCACCCCTCCTCCTGTTTCGCAGGTCACGCCTCAAGGCTCACCTCTGCCCACCCCCCTGGGCACACCCGTGCACCAAATTCAGCACCCTTCCTCTACCACCCCTCCCTCCTCTTCCTCGTCATCTTCTTCTTCCAGAGCTGACGGAGCTAGCGGGGCTTCCATGACCCTGACACCGCCCTCCAGCCCGGGTGGCAGTGGAGGGATGGCCTCCTCAAGCTCCGCCCACTGGAGGACTAGGCTCAACTCCTTCAAGAACAACCTGCTGGGCTCACCGCGTTTCCATCGACGCAAACTACAAGGTGATTAAGGCGGAGCCAAAAACCCTGATGACACGCAGGAAAAAAAGGAATTTTTCTTTTCCCCGTTTTCCTCACGTCTCTCATCCTCCTGTCTTTTAGTCCCTACATCAGAGGACATGTCCAGTCTGACTCCAGAGTCCAGTCCAGAGTGAGTAGACACTTTTACGGTTTTGGTTTAATCTGTGGATTTTTGTCTTCCAGATTTTATGTCACAGTTTGTTTGGTATTAAAGAAAAAGTTCATATTGGAAAAGAATTCAAGTTGTCGTTAAACTCCAGGCCAGCCACTAGGTGGCCCGCAGGGCTGGACCTTGACTGTGTTAAGACTGTTTGACCGACTGTTTGACCGACTGTTTGACCGACTGTTTGACCGACTGTTTGACCGACTGTTTGACAGGCTGGCCAAGAGGTCGTGGTTCGGAAACTTCATCAGCCTGGAGAAAGAGGAGCAGATCTTCGTTCTGATCCGAGACAAGCCGCTGAGCTCCATCAAAGCCGACATCGTCCACGCCTTCCTGTCTGTGAGTCTCCACAGACTGCCCACGGAGACAGACCTACAGAGGAGTCTGTTGTGGTGACACTGACGCCGTTCTCCTGTCTCACCACAGATCCCGTCCCTCAGCCACAGCGTGGTGTCTCAGAACAGTTTCAGGGCAGAGTACAAATCCTCCGGCGGCCCCTCGGTCTTCCAGAAGCCTGTCAAGTTCCAGGTACTTGAACACCGTTCTGGTGCTCAACATGAGGCGCCCTAACGTTCCTAATGGTCGTTGGCTTCTCCTTAGGTTGATATCGCGTATTCAGAAGGAGACAGAGAACGAGAGAGAGAACGAGCAGAGAGGGAAGGAAGGAGAGAGTTTGGCATCTACAGCGTGACCTTCACCCTCATCACAGGTGAGAAGATCCGACCCCGGGGTCAACCACAAGAAATATGGACCAATCCATGACTTCTGGGTTGAACCTCTCTCTCTCTCTCTCTCTCTCTCTCAGGTCCCAGCCGCAGATTTAAACGAGTGGTTGAAACCATCCAGGCTCAGCTGCTCAGTACTCATGATCAGCCTTCTGTGCAGGCACTGGCTGGTAAAGCACACACACACACACACACACACACACACTCTGCCTCGTCCATTCTGTCCTTGCTGATTCTTTCCGTCCTCCCACTCAGACGAGAAGAACGGTCAGCTCTCTCGCCAGCCCAGCACTCCGTCACGTCAGAACTCCCGACGTTCAGAAAGCGGTTCTGATCGGGCCGAGAGGGAACGCGCGGCAGACGGCGGGAGCGGCAGCGGGAGCAGCAGTAGCACCGTCTTACAAAGGCACGGGTCGGGCAAAGACAAGACCAGACTCCTGTCATCGTCCAACGGGACACAGTCTCATCCCTGAGAGAATGTTCTGGAAGAGAGGCCTTCTTCTCACTTCCTCCCTCCTCCGTCCTTCCTACATCACTCCTTACTTTCCCATTTCCTCACTCTCTGCCTTCTTTCTTTTGGCCGTTACTCCTTAGCAGTGGAATGAAGGGGGGGGGGTTCTTGAATTTGACCTAAGGACATAAGAGCCTTCGAGGTGCGCTGTTCCCAGGAGGGACTGGCGACAG